ACCCACTCTGACCAGTTTCCATACCCTCCCAAGCGTAGCCGGCTGTTTTCCCTCCCCACAGACTGGAGACAAGGAGGAAGACTCACTTTCATTTCATTCCCATGGGACAGTCCTTGAGTTTCAAGGGAGCCTGGGAGCAGCAGTGAAGGGCAGGGAGGCGTGACTGCATCTCTATAGAATGCTGGGGTGAAGTCTCACTTCTTACCAAACAGAAGGACAGCTGGGGATGTTCGCATTTCAAATAGAGACTATTTGGCAAACAGCAAATATATTTCGAAGGGCTCTGGGCGCCTCAGAGATGTGTCTGCATAGTGTGGAAGTTGTCAGGATCAAAATGGATTCACTTGTGCTTAAAACAAACAAAAAACCCTGACAAATAGAACTGGGGAAGGCCATGAAGGATTCTCATGCATAAATGCTTGATAACAAAAATGATCACAAGGCTAGGTGTGGTGGCTCATGCCTGTAATCCCAGCACTTTGGGAGGCCGAGGCAGGCGGATCACTTGAGGTCAGGAGTTCGAGGCCAGCCTGGGCAACATGGCAAAATCCCATGTCTACTAAAAATACAAAAAATTAGCCGGGCATGGTGGCGGGTGCCTGTAGTCCCAGCTACTAAGGAGGCTGACACAGGAGAATTTCTTGAATCTGGGAAGTGGAGGTTGCAGTGAGCTGTGATTGTATCACTGCACTCCAGCCTGGGAGACAGAGCAAGACTCTGTCTCTAAATAAATAAATAAATAATGATCACAAAAGACTGCAAAAATCTCAACCTTGCACAAAGCCCTTCACAGCCTTACACAAAAAAACACTTTTATGAGGACATCTTCCCAGCAACTGCCTGTCTAACCTTGGAATGGCATCACCCTTGCTATTGATCCTTATAGCCAAGGATAATTATCTTAATGATCTTATCCTCATTTTTCCTTTAAGAACCTTTGTTTTCCTTCACCTGCCTAAATATGCACATAGTTTACTCTGGCACACATATTCCCCTCGTAATACCCTATTCCCAAATCAGTATCATTTCCTTTCAGAGAGCCTCTCTCTGTTTGTTGTGGCGCTTCAAAGACATAGTGACCATAGTGACTATGCAGGTTGCTTTAAATGTTATGTACCGAGAAGTCCATTTTTTTTTTTTGAGACAGATTCTTGCTCTGTTGTCCAGGTTGGAGTGCAGTGGTGCCATCTTGGCTCACTGCAACTTCCACCTTGTGGGTTCAACCGATTCTCCTGCCTCAGCCTCATGAGTAGCTGGGATTACAGGCACCTGCCACTGTGCTGGTCTGATTTTTGTATTTTTAGTAGAGACGGGGTTTCACCGTGTTGGCCAGACTGGTCTTGAACTCCTGACCTCAGGTGATCTGCTCACCTGAGCCTCCCCAAATGCTGTGATTACAGGTGTGAGCCACCATGCCTGGCCAGAAGTCCATTTTATGTGATTTAAACACTATGGACAGAGACATGATTTTATTTTTATATTATTATTATTTTTTGAGACAGAGTCTCGCTCTGTCACCGAGGTAGAGGGCAGTGGTGCAATCTCAGCTCACTGCAACCTCTGCCTCCCAGGTTCAAGCGATTCTCCTGCCTCAGCCTCCTGAGTAGCTGGGATTACAGGCATGTACCACCACACCTGGCTAATTTTTGTATTTTTAATAGAGACGGGGTTTCACCATGTTGGTCAGGCTGGTCTTGAACTCGTGACCTCGTGATCCCTCCTCCCTCAGCCTCCCAAAGGGCTGGGATTACAAGCGTGAGCCACCGCACTGGCCTATTTTATTTTATTATTATTTTTGAGACAGAGTCTCGCTCTGTCCCCAGGTGTGCAGTGGCACGATCTCTGCTCACTGCAACCTCTGCCTTCCAGGTTCAAGCAATTCTCCTGCCTCAGTCTCCCAAGTAGCTGGGACTAGAGGCGCATGCCGCCACGCCCGGCTATTTTTCTTTTTTTTTTTTTTTTTTGTATTTTAGTAGAGACAGGGTTTCACCATGTTGCCCAGGCTGGTCTCGAACTCCTGAGCTCAGGCAATCCACCCTCCTCGGCCTCCCAAAGTGCTAGGATTACAGGCATGAGCCACCGCGCCTGGCCAGAGATGTGATTTTAAAAGATATAAATGTCACAGAGGCAGATGACCTAAGCCTTGGCCTTGACTAGTGTATTAATCCCATCAATTAGTTATTTATTTTACTAAGGATAATGAGGCATTGCATTTCAGAAAATACCATTTAAGGCTGGGCACAGTGGCTCACATCTATAATTCCAGCACTTTGGGAGGCTGAGGTGGGCGGATCACCTGAGGTGAGAGGTTTGAGACCAGCCTGACCAACATGGTGAAACCCCATCTCTACTAAAAATACAAAAATTAGCCGGGCATGGTGGCGAGCATCTGTAATCCCAGCTACTCTGGAGGCTGAGGCACAAAAATTGCTTGAACCCAGAAGGCGGAGGTTGCAGTGAACTGAGATCGTGCCACTGCGCTCCAGCCTGGGCAACAGGGTGAGACTCTGTCTCTGAATAAATAAATAAATAAATGGGGTGGCACAGACGCACTTACTCTAACAGAGTTGATCTGCCCTCTGTCCTGCTGGGCTCAAACTCTTTCCTGTTCTCTTTCTGCCATGGATGTATCCTCCACTCCTCACTGGGCGCCATCCTGCTGCCCAACAGAAGAAGCTCTTGTCTCTGATTTCCTGAATGGTCTAAGGTAAGTCTTTACAATTCCTATCTACGACCTCTTCCTCCAAACTTGTCTACTTAAGGTGCACCTAATGCATACAACAGATGCTTCACAGGGAGACTTGCATGCATGGGGTGGGAGTGGGCCCTGTTTGTCTAACTCTTGCCACCGCAGACAGCATGGCACACAATACTTAGAGAGTTAGCCACTTTCTCCGGATGCGGTGGCTCACGCCTGTAATCTCAACCTTTGGGAGGCCAGTGCAGGTAGATCACAAGGCCAGGAGTTCGAGAACAGCCTGGCCAATATGGTGAAACCTCATCTCTACTGAAAATACAAAAATTAGCCGGGTATAGTGGCGCACGCCTGTAATGCCAGCTATTCAGGAGTCTGAGGCAGGAGAATTGCTTGAACCTGGGAGGTGGAGGTTGTAGTGAGCCAAGATCGTGCCACTGCACTCCAGCCTGGGCGACAGAGTGAGACTGTCTCAAAAAAAGAAAAAAAAAAAAGCCACTTTCTTACCAGCAGTACAGGGCCCCAACAGAGGAAGAGAAGGTGGCTCCATCGACTAGTGCTAGAAGCTGCATAAAGCTCCAGTCAGTGTCACCTCTTCCCATTGTCAAGACAGGGCTGCCGGCAGAGCTTCTTCCTAAAGCAGCATGATGGCAGCTGTGGCCCACTGCGTGGGAGATGGGATGAATCTACACATCCATTTCCCACATGGGAAGAGTTATATGAATGGATTTTTATGTTTTATTTATTTTTATTCTTATTATTTTTGAGACAGTCTCGCTGTGTCGCCAGGCTGGAGTACAGTGGTGCGACCTCAGCTCACTGCAACCTCCGCCTCCTGGGTTCAACCAATTCTCCTGCCTCAGCATCCCAAGAAGCTGGGACTACAGGTGCGCACCACCACACCCAGCTAATTTTTGTATTTTTAGTAGAGACGGGGTTTCACCATGTTGGTCAGGATGGTCTCGATCTCTTGACCTCGTTATCCACCTGCCTTGGCCTCCCGAAGTGCTGGGAATACAGGTATGAGCCACCATGCCCGGCCTATTTTTTTTTTTTTTGAGTCAGAGTATCTCTTTCACCCAGGCTAGAGTGCAGTGGCGCGATCTCAGCTCACTGCAGCTTCTGCCTCCCTGGTTCAACCGACTGTCCTGCCTCAGCCTCCCATGTAGCTGGGATTACAGGGGCCTGCCACCACACTCAGCTAATTTTTGTGCTTTTAGTAGAGATGGGGTTTCACCATGTTGGCCAAGCTGGTCTCGAACACCTGACCTCAGGTGATCCGCCTGCCTCGGCCTCCCAAAGTGCTGGGATTACAGGTGTGAGCCACTGCGCCCAGCCTATAAATGGATTTTAAATACATATCCTTTGAACAACAGAGCCCAACAATACTGACAGATGACTTGCGTGCTCAGTGGCTAATACTACTATTGATTAATCAGTTAATTATCTTTATTGCCCACAAACGCCTGCCTTGGTCAACACAGTGTGACTTGTCACATATAAATGAAGTGCTAATGTGCCTTCTGCAAATCCCCCTTATAACTTTTATATTTTTGAGACACGGTCTCTCTTGCTCTGTTGCCAAGGCTGGAATGTAGTGGTGCAATGCTCACTGCAACCTTGAACTCCTAGGCTCAAATGATCCTCTGGTCTCAGCCTCCTGAGTAGCTAGGACTACAGGTGTGCACCACCACGACTAGCTAATTTTTTATTTTTTGTGAAAACAAGGCTGTTCTCAAACTCCTGGCCTCAAGTGATCCTCCCATCTTGACCTCCCAAAGTGCTGGGATTACAGGCATGAGCCACCATGCCCAGCCTTTTTTTTTTTTTTTTTTTTTTTTAAAGATAGGGTCTCACTCTGTCTCCCACGCTGGAGTGCAGTGGCATCATTTTGGCTCATGGTAACCTCTGCCTCCCAGGCTAAGGCATCCTCCCACTTTAGCCTCCCAAGTAGCTGGGACTACAGGTACATGTCATCACAGCTGGCTAAGTTTTATATTTTTCATAGAGACTGGGATTTCGCTATGTTGCCCAGGCTGGTCTAGAACTCCTGGCCTCCAGTGATCCACCCACCTCAGCCTCCCAAAGTGTTGGGATTACAGGCGTGAGCCACTGCACTTGGCCCCAGCCTCCTTTATAACCTTTGGAGGATCAAGTAACATCCACAGGAAGTGTTTGCTGAGTTCCCGTGAGGCCTCTGTAGCTCTAGCAGGTGTTATTTAAGAAAAAAACAAGTTTAGATTGAGTAATTTTAAAAAGCTGAAACTCTGCAGAAAATAGGCTACAATAAAGAAAAGACTTCACATAGACTTAAAAAAAAACATGTGCTATACAGTCTTTTATTTCTAGTTTAAAAACAAAATCTTAAATTACTAGGAGTATATTTACAGGATTAATTACATTTTAAGCCAGCACACCATGGAAGTACATGAAGGGCCACTCAGTGTCCTTCACTGGGACAGGCTGGGACAGGTTGTGTGACCTGCCCGAGGGGCTCCAGCTCATTTGCTGAAGTTGAGAAGAAGACCACGTCTTCTGACTGCTCAGCCCAAACAATGAAAAAAGTATCAGAGATGTGTCATATCCATTTTGCTAACAAGCAATTACATGACTTTTTAGTGTTTAAGAGAAGCCTTAATTTTCCTGGGATATCTCCATAGAATCATTCTAAAAACTTGTTTCATTTTGAAAATTCTTCAAGAAAAAAAAAAAAGCTTGTCACCCCCATGAGACCCACTGTCTCTCACAAGGCAGGGACAGGCCTTTTAGAGGCAGGAAAAGGGAATACTGGTCTCTGGGAAGTCCAGACAGAACTCCAGCAGCTCCACTGGTTCGACGATCTCTTCCAGGGGGCCAGTGGGCTAGACCCATGCTTTGGTTCAAAGTGTTTGGAGAACATCTTCTTGCTCCTTTTCTGGAAAGGAAATGATGGACACAGAGTCCCAGACGTCATCCTTTGGTGAGCTGTCCTTGTCCAAGACCTCTAAGATGGGCTGGGTTGGGTCCTTTAAATACTTGGGGAGATTGGAAAACAAAATTGTAATGAGTTTACCAGTTCAATACACCAGACCTCTGAACTTGAGTTTTTGTTGTTGTGCTTTTAAAATTGTTTTGTTTGAGACGGAGTCTCACTCTGTCACCTAGGCTAGAGTGCAGTGGTGTGATCTCGGCTCACTGCAACCTCCGCCTCCTGGGTTCAAGTGATTCTCCTGCCTCAGCCTCCTGAGCAGCTGGGACTACAGGTGCGCGCCACCACGCCTGGCTAATTTTTTGTATTTTTAGTAGAGACGGGGTCTCACCATGTTGGCCAGGCTGGTCTCAAACTCCTGACTGCAAATGACCCAGCCACCTTGGCCTCCCAAAGTACTGGGATTGTAAGTGTGAGCAGCTGCACCTGGCCTACTTTAGTTTTAATTGGTATAGTTGTTATTTTATTAAGGTATAAGTTGATTCTGTCCACCAATGACATAACTTCTTTTTCTTTTTTTTCAACAATGAAACAATTTTTTTTTTCTTTTTTTTTTTTTTGAGTCAGAGTATCTCTTTCACCCAGGCTAGAGTGCAGTGGCGCGATCTCAGCTCACTGCAGCTTCTGCCTCCCAGGTTCAAGCAATCTCCTGCCTCAGCCTCCCAAGTAGCTAGGATTGCAGGCGTGCACCACTACGGCCAGCTAATTTTTTTTTTTTTTTTTTTTGAGATGGAGTCTTGCTCTGTCGCCACGCTGGAGTGCAGTGGCGTGATCTCGGCTCACTGCAACCTCCGAATCCCTGGTTCAAGCGATTCTCCTGCCTCAGCCTCCCGAGTAGCTGGGACTACAGGTGCACGCCTGGGTAAGTTTTGTATTTTTAGTAGAGACAGGGTTTCACCATGTTGGCCCGGTGACCTCGTGATCCACGCGCGTCGGCCTCCCAAAGTGCTGGGATTACAGGCATGAGCCACTGCACCCGGCCAACAACTTCTAATAGTTGAATACTCCTTACCCCTCATCTCAGTAATAACTTTAATACCCATCCCAGGGTTGACCATGTTAATATGCTGAGAGTGTAAAAGGGCAAAACTCAGGAAGAGCAAGTTTCATTTTTTGTTTTTTTTGTCTGATTTTCTGATTGGAAGAAAAGCAAGTTCTTCCTTGCAACCCTCAGTGCAGGCCTGTGGGTTATTAATCTTAAAACATCTCTAAAATGATAACCTTTCAGCGAAGGAGGGACTGGGGGCTCTTGTTCAGCTGTGATGGGGAAAAAGAGGGCAAGTTCGTAAGCATTGGTCTCAGGCACTCCTCCACCCCTCCCCTCACAACAGCGCGCGCACAGCGCACAGCAAGCAGAGAATCTGGGAGGGAGGGCCTTAGGCCTTAACATATAAAGGGGTGTTTCCCAGCGATTAATTTCCCTTTTGCTCCCACAGGCTTTAGGCTTAGCCACAGATTCACCAAGTTACCAAGAACCTAGTATGTAGCTCTTGGAAATGCTGAAAGATACTGGAAGACAATAAGCTTGTAGCTGACTGATGGAAAGAGGAACAAAACCAAAACATGTACCCTTGTGAGACCCCAGAATTATAAGTGAAACATGATTCACTGTTGTCATGTAACTCAGAGACCTTTGGTGGATGTTCTTCACGCTTTCCTAGGAAAGTGGACCGACAGGCCTGTGTTTTCTGTTCATTTCTCAGTGAAATGACTCATAGTAAATTCATGTACTAGGGCTCAGCTGGCCATTCTACCAGGAGAGAGAGATCATGACTGCAAGAAAGATTCTAAGACCTGTTAGGAGCTATGATTTTGTGACAGTATTAACCAGGGAGGTTCTAGTAGGGAATCTGTATATTGCCTATGTACCTAAAATACATCATGACAGATGAAGGAACAAGTGACTAGGGTTCTTTCTGAAAGTGCAGCTGTGTTTCTGTAGACTTGGACCTTATCTAACATCTGTTCACCCTCATGTAACTGAGTAACATTCTGTTTTCAACACCTTTACTCTGGGTTTACCCAAGAATAATGTGAAGCCTCCAGAAGCAAATGCTTTTTATTTAATTTATTTTTATTTTTTGAGATGAAGTTTTGCTCTGTCGCCCAGGCTAAAGTGCTGTGGTGTGATCTTGGCTCACTGTAACTTCCACCTCCTGGTTCAAGTGATTCTCCTGCCTCAGCCTCCTGAGTAGCTGGGATTATAGGCACCCACCATCATGCCTGGCTAATTTTTGTATTTTTAGTAGAGACAGGGTTTCACCATGTTGGCCAGACTGGTCTCCAGCTCCTGACCTCAGGTGATCCTCCTGTCTTGGCCTCCCAAAGTGCTGGGATTACAGGTGTGGTTCACTACGCCTGGCTGCAAATGCTTTTTAAATGTTCTTTTTTCAGCTCGCCTCTCATACCCAAAATGTCCTGACCATGTCCCTCAGAAGGCCCAGTGGTCTCACAGAGCCTCAGGGGGCTGGGGCTATGCAGGAAAATAAGACTTTCCACAAGACGCACGCTGCTGTTCTTTCTCAAGTCCTTCCAAACACTAGCAATACTCACTGGGCAGTGGCGCACAGGGCCTGGCACTCACAGCTCTGGGGGTTGACTCTGCCTTAGGGCCCTCCTAAGCACCCTGTGGGCCCCAAAGCTCAAGCTCCTGATCACCCTCTCCACCACCTTAACATCCTCCAGCCAGGCCACTTCCCTGGCGCATTCTCCAGAGAGCAGAGGAGATCTGCTGCCTGAGACGGGCCTACTGCCACCTTTTTAGCCAATCCCATGCCATTAAAAAAAAATTAAATTGTGGTAAAATGCACATAACATAAAATGTACCATTATAACTCTTTTTAGGTGTACAGTTCGGTAGTGCCAAGCACATTCACATTGTGCAATCATGACCACCATCCATCTCGAGAACTCTCTACAGCTCCAGAACTGAAACTCTGGCCCCACTCAACACGAACTTCCCACTTTCCTCCCTCCACCATCACAACCACCATTCTACTTCCCGTCTTTATGGATCTGATGACTCTGGGGACCTCATTTAAGTGGAAGCATACAGTATCCTTTCGTGACTGTCCTACTCCACTCGGCATAATGTCCTCAAGGTCCATCCACGTGGTGGCATGTGTCACAATCCCCTTCCTTTCTAATGCTGAATGACATTCCATCGTATGGAAAGACCATCCATTGGTTTATCTATTCATCCTTCAACGACACCAGAGTGCTTCCACCTTTTGGCTGCTGTGAATCGAGTCAATATGAACATGGGGTATAAATAACCCCATACAATTTTTAACTCAAATCTCTGTGTCCACGGCTTTGCCCACTGCTGCACTCTTAGGGGTTGCCGGGGCAGTGGGGCCCTGTTGTGTCACCATTAAGATGTCTGCATGGCCAGGCGCAGTGGCTCACGCCTGTAATCCCAGCACTTTGGGAGGCTGAGGTGGGCGGATCACTTGAGGTCAGGAGTTCGAGACCAGTCTGGCCAACACAGCAAAACTCCATCTCTACCAAAAATACAAAAATTAGCAGGCCATGGTGGTGAGCGCTTGTAATACCAGCTACTCAGGAGGCTGAGGCAGAAGAATCGCTTGAACCTGGGAGACGGAGGCTGCAGTGAGCAGAGACTGTACCATGACGCTCCAGCCTGGGCAACAGAGCAAGACCCTATCTCAAAAAAAAAAAAAAAAAAAAAAAGGTGTGCACACATACCTCTTCTATCTGTAACGGAATGCTTGGTGGAGTGTGAAACCAGTATTTAATCAGGCCTCTGTATTTCAGGACCAGGAAGAAACAGGCCCCTGCCAGCACCGACAGCAACGAAAATGTTCCCACGGAGATCAGGATGACTTGCTGAAGCTCGGTGGAGGCTAAAAAAAAGGACATGAAAGTGAACAGAATGATCTTCCTACACACAACACAAACATCAGTTAATGTTCCATCCATGCTGCTTAAAAAGCATTCCTGGCCTAGTAAAATGGGCAGGTGCCCCTATCCCCACCCTCACCCGGTACGCTTACGTTAATAGCTGAAGTCAATCCTGTAATGAAATAAAGCAAGCGGTAGCTGTCCGGCAGCCTCCGCGACCGCAGATCCCAGCACAAGCTCATTACACCTGCAGTTCAGCACTCTCTTCTCACTGGCTCTCCCCACTCCCACCACCCATGACCTCTTAGGCGGTCCCCGATTTCACTATTGGAGGAGTATTCTTTCCCAGTTCAGAAAGGACATAAGAAGGTATATTTTACCATCTGCCATCGTTTTGTAGCAAGATGTGTTGCTTAAATGCCCCAGTCTAAAGATGTTACTTTTGTTCCAAAGCAGTTGTGCCTGGACTTGTAAACAGTACACTCTGAAGGGTTTTAAGTTATCCAATGAAATGGAGTTGCTTCTGAAAGGGCCTTTGACCTGTTTTAAAAACACCACAAGCACACATGTAAATCCCTTGAATGAACACGGCCAAGCTGCCTCCATCTTTTCTGATGTTTCCTCAAATTCACTGTGAACACGACAACCAAAGGAGAAGAAGATGCCATTTTTAGCGGGTCACTGGCGGGCAGTGGATACATTGTATGTGTGAAAACTGGTGTGTTGTGTGGTCAAAGAGGCTGATAGCTTTAGAACTGTTTCTGGCTGTGTGGTCTCAGAGTGCCCATTGTAATAACTAGACTTCAGTAAATCCCAATTTCTAGGATAACCTTTTTCTCCTCTAAAATTAACATTTTGGGCTGGATGGGGTGGCTCACGCCTGTGATCCCACCACTTTGGGAGGCCAAGGTGGGCGGATCACCTGAGGTCAGGAGTTGGAGACCAGCCTGGCAAACATCGCAAAACCCTGTCTCCACTAAAAGTACAAAAATTAGCTGGATGTGGTGGCGCACACCTGTAATCCCAGCTGCATGGGAGGCTGACGGAGGAGAATCACTTGGACCAGGAGGCGGAGGCTGCAGTGAGCCAAGATTGCGCCACTGCACTCCAGCCTGGGTGACAGAGCAACACTGCATCTCAAAACAAACAAACTAATATTTTGTATTTCTTTCTTTCTTCTTCTTTTTTTTTTTTTTTTTGAGATGGAGTTTCGCTCTGTCACCAGGCTGGATTGCAGTGGTGCAACCTCAGCTCACTGCAACCTCCGCTTCCCAGGTTCAAGCAATTCTCCTGCCTCCAACTCCTGAGTTGCTGGGATTATAGGTGCCCACCACCACGTCCAGCTCATTTTTGTATTTTTAGTAGAGACAGGGTTTCCCCATGTTGCCCAGGCTGGTCTTGAGCTCCTGACCTCAGGTGATCCACCTGCCTCGGCCTCCCAAAGTGCTGGGATTACAGGCTTGAGCCACCACGCCCAGCCAACATTTTGTATCTCATAGTTAATCTAGATACCTCAAGGTAGTCAACAGAGAAAAAATTATTCTAGGAAATAATGTTCCTTTCATTCCCAACCTGCTTCTAGTTTGACCAAAATGTGCTTGATCCTCCTATAGTTTCAGCTAAAATGACCTTAGAGATTTATGACATCAGGAGACAACTGGACTGCAGACTCCAGGAGGGTTCTGTGTCTCCTCCCTGCATCCCCCTGTTGCCTCGAGCAGACCTTGCTGCCTCCCCACCTGGTCCTCCAGGCAATGGCTCCTCACTCTTGTCCTGGCAAGGTTGTCATTGTCCCACCCCGAAGTGGAAAACAGCGATACCCTACTATGGCAATATAGGGTTTCTTGCAAAGAACTGTTTTCTAATTTTGAGATACAATATAATCCACTGCAGTCACATGAAATGACGGCATAACATATGCTTGAAAACATGGGAAGACAAGGCTGCTAAACTGTTAACTGAAAAAAGGCAGATTATCCAAATACAGAACATGTTATTATTTTTTAAAATAGAAAAATAGGCCAGGCGTGGTGGCTCATGCCTGTAATACCAGCACTTCGGGAGGCTGAGGTGGGACAATCACTTGAGTTTGAGCTTGGGTAACATAGTGAGACCCCCTCCCCGTGTCTCTATGAAAAAAAATAAATAAATAAGCTGGTCATGGTGGTGCATGCCTATAGTCCCAGCTGCTTGGGAGGCCAAAGTGGGAGGACGGCTTGAGCCTGGGAATTGGAGGCTACGGTGAGCTATGATTGCACCACTGCACTCCAGCCTGGGTGAGAGAGTGGAATTGTCTCTGAAAAATTAAAGTTAAAAAATAAAAATACAAACATAATTGTATTATCTATGAATTGCAGTATTACTTGATGGTTTTACATTATCTTTTCTTCTGTTTAGTGGTGGTGACTGCCAGGGCAGAGGAAGACGCGATTTTAAGGATGAAAATTCCCTTTGGGTTTATTTCAGCATTCAACTGGAATTCCTAAAATTCAGAATCACAGACTGCAGAAGAGCTAATGTAACAGGCCTAACACTAATGGCCTTTGAAGGGCCTGATTTCAAGGTCGACCCTTGGCTGACATCTGGGAATTTGTGTGCGTGTGTGTGTGTGTGTGTGTGTGTGTGTGTGTGTGTGTTTGAGACGGAGTCTTGCTCCATTGCCCAGGCTGGAGTGCAGTGGCGATCTCAACTCGCTGCAACCTCCACCTCCCAGGTTGAAGCAATTCTCCTGCTTCAGCCTCCCAAGTAACTGGGATCACAGGGGCCCGCCACCACGCCTGGCTAATTTTTGTATTTTTAGTAGAGATGGGTTTTCACCATGCTGGCCAGGCCTGTCTCGAACCCCTGACCCCAAATGATCCGCCTGCCTCGGCCTCCCACAGTGCTGGGGTTTCAGGCGTGAGCCACGGCGCCCAGCCTGGGAATTTGGATTTCAGGTTTATGCCTCCCATTCCCAAACTGGTAAGGTGGCTTTACTGTCCCTACACTGTTTGCAGTGTGTCTTCTTTATGAGGAGCATCTGCTTTCCTTCTGGGAGTTGGAATTTTGGCATACGCTAGACAGAAGGTGCGTATGTGGCTAGCCCCAGTAAAAACCCTGGGTGCTGGGTCTCTCACAAGCCTCCCTGGCAGACAGCAGTTCACGCGTGCAGTCACAGCTTGCTGGTGGAGGAATGAAGTGTGTCCTGCGTGACTCCGCTCGGGGAGGGTTCCCAGAAGCCCACCCCTGGACACCTGCGGACTTTCCTTCATGTGCCTCTTCCCTTTGCCAATTTTGCTTTGCATCCTTTTGCTGTAAAAAATCAGGGTGTGGGCCAGGCACAGATGGGGAGGCTGAGACAGGAGAATCTCTTGAACCCATGAGCCGAGACTGTGGCACTGCACTCCACCCTGGGTGACACAGTGAAACTCTGTCTCAGAACAAAACAAAACAAAAGAAATGAGAGTGTGGCTGTGCTGGGCCCTGGGAGTCCTTTGGGCGATCTAGGGTGGGTCTTGGGGAACCCAACACAGACTCACAGCTGGAACAAAGATCCCGTCGGTGGCTTTCAGAGTCATTTCAAAGTCATTGACTTTTGATCATGGAAGCCAAGTACAGATGCTCTGGTCTGATGGAGGAAAGGGGCTTGGGGGCCCTCATGGCTGCTCGTCTTCACAGGCTCCGGCTTACAGCTCAGTTGTTTCATTTTATACATGAGGAAGCTGCAGCCCAGAGAGGCTAAGTGACATGGTGCTAAGCGGGTACCAGGCAGTGGAGGCCTGTTCTGTGCCCTCTATATAAGCGCATGCTGCTCAAAGAGGCTGGCCCCAGGGTCCTGGAGCTGAGTCGTCCAGTGCTGCGCAGCCCTGGCCGGCTCTAGGATACAAGTGGCAACTCGCCCTCTGGGGGCCGACTCAGTGCAGAGAAATGGATGGATTCCATCCTAAAAAAAATATAGGCGGGCCCTTGGGGAGGTAGCACAGCAACACAGTGCCCTCAAGTGAAGAAACCAACCAAAGGGTGGAGAAAAACGTGGCCAGAGCGCCCACCCCATCTCCTGCATTTCCGGCACCATATCCGGTTGGTGAGGACAGCTTGGAAGAGGCAGAGTCTCTCTCTTCTGGATTCTGCCAGGCTCCCTCTATTCTAATTGACCCAGATCTTGAGCTCTGATTTGGAGAAATGATTTTTCCCTATTTCCTAGATGCTAAATCTGTTTTTCAGTGAGTCTCAACCTTGCCAGTTTCATACTCCCCATGATGAAATGAAGAGGAGGCTGGGAACAGGGGCTCATGCCTGTAACCTCAGCACTTTCGGAGACTGAGGTGGGCAGATTGTTTGAGACCAGGAGTTCGAGACCAGCTTGAGCAACATGGCAAAACCCTATCTCTACAAAAAAAATTTTAAAATGTTAGCCGGGTCTGGTTGGCACAGGCTTGTAATTCCAGCTACTGGGGAGGCTGAAGTGGGTGGATTGCTTGAGCCTGGGAGGTAGAGGTTGCAGTGAGCCAAGATTGTACCATAGTACTCCAGCCTGGGCAACAGTGAGACTGTCTCAAAAAAACAACAATAGGCCGGGCGCGGTGGCTCACGCCTGTAATCCCAGCACTTTGGGAGGCCAAGGTGGGCGGATCACGAGGTCAGGAGATCGAGACCTTCCTGGCTAACACGGTGAAACCCCATCTCTACTAAAAATACAAAAAATTAGCAGGGCGTGGTGGCGGGCGCCTGTAGTCCCAGCTATTCAGGGGGCTGAGGCAGGAGAATGGCGTGAACCTGGGAGGCAGAGCTTGCTGTGAGCCGAGATCGCGCCACTGCAGTCCGGCCTGGGCGACAGAGCGAGACTGTCTCAAAAAAAAAAAGAAAAAGAAAAAAAGAAAAAAAGAACAATAATTTTTTTAAAAAGAGAGAAGTGCAGATACAAAGTGTATGGCAGAAAAACATGGTGGTCAAGAGCAGGGCTCTGAAGGTAGGCATCTCTGCTCTGCTCTGCCATTGGTTTGCTGCTGACCTGAGGCAAGTCACTTAACGACTTGGATTCCCTCTCTGCAAACGGATTAGTATAAAGATGAAATGGGCTAGGCACGGTGGCTCATGCCTGTAATCCCAGCACTTTGGGTGGCCAAGGTGGGCAGATCACCTGAGGTCAGGAGTTCGAGACCAGCCTGACCAATATGGTGAAACCCCGTCTCTACTAAAAATACAAAAACTAGCTGGGCATCAAGAACAAAACTCCAGCTAAAAAAAAAAAAGATGAAATGAGATGAAGTATCTAAAATTCTAAAATGCTGGCCCAGAGCCAAACACAAAGGAAGCTCTCAATAAATGTAAGCTCTTATTATCAAAAACCATAATAATGTTGAATTTAGGAAATCATGAAGTTCACATAGATAACAGAACCTCATTAAACACAGCTGGGATAATTTAGGCACTGGACATGCTTCAAGACCATCATGTTTTTTCCTGTACTCCCCGAGGCTGACCAGGCCCCTCTGATGTCATGCACCTCTGTTAATGTGATCACCTGCCACAGCCCCTCGTGGCTTGCGTTTCTGACCGATATAGGCACCCACAGTTCTTCATGTGTGCCACACTGTCTCATACCTGCTGCTCTCTGGAAGGCTCTTTCTCCCTTTGTTTCCCCCCGATTCCACATGTGCCCTTTTCACAAACTGTTCAAACATTTATACAGTTAAGCCTTGCAGGCTGTAGTTGTGGATTCCTCATGGAGAACCGGGCCCACTAAAACCTCCTCCAAACTGCAGAGCGTGGCAAAGGCATTGTGAGCAGGGCACTGGCTAAGTCTGGACCCCACACAAGGAAACAGAGTGACATCAAAGGATGGCCAGCCCTTCAGATTGGCCTGGCGGAGGGAGGTCTCAGCACACCGAGTGGAAAAACAGGTCTTGAAGAGGACGATGAAAACAGGCTCAGGGCTCAGTCTCTATGGGGACACGAGGACACCCTGTTTTTGCCCATGTTAAAGGTTTCTTTCTATTGCTAAGCCAGAAACTGCAAAGAAAAGAAAATCCAAACAAAAAAGGAACATGCTCTTGCCTGTTGGATTCCTCCTTTTTCCCAGTAATGGACATAATACCAAAACAAGGCTGTGGAGGTATCAGCGATGTCAAAGGGAGAAGAGAACCTGATGATGAGGGAGCCTTCTCCTGGGGTCACCTCAATGTTTTCTGGAGGCCCGACAGTCACTGAAAAAGAATTACAAAGAGAAAATCATACACATACACATATGTATTATAGATATAATACACTCTATATATGTATAATGCAATACATATATATAGTGGGTGTAGATATATACACACATATATTTTTATCTATCTATTTATTTATTTATTATTTTTTCGAGACGGAGTCTTGCTCTGTCACCCAGGCCAGAGTGCAGTCGCGCAATCTCGGCTCACCGCAACCTCCACCTCCCGGGCTCAAGCAATTCTCTTGCCTCAGCCTCTCAAGTAGCTGGGATTACAGGCGTGTGCCACCATGTCCGGCTAATTTTTATATTTTTAGTAGAGACAGGGTATCTTCATGTTGGCCAGGCTGTTCTCAAACTCCTGACCTCGTGATCCGCCTGCCTCAGCCTGCCAAAGTGCTGAGATTACAGGCGTGAGCCACTGCGCCTGGCCTATTTATTTTATTTTATTTTATTTTATTTATTTATTTATTTATTTATTTATTTATTTATTTATTTATTTATTTTTGAGATGGAATGTTGCTCATGTCGCCCAGGCTGGAGTACAGTGGTGCAATCCCGGCTCACTGCAACCTCTGCCTTCAGGGTTCAAGCGATTCTCCTGCCTCAGCCTCTCGTGTAGCTGCAATTACAGGCACATGCCACTACACCCAGATAATTTTTATATTTTTAGTAGAGACGGTGTTTCACCAAGTTGGCCAGGCTGGTTTCAAACTACTGACCTCAGGTGATCTGCCCGCCTTGGCCTCCCAAAGTGCCGGGATTACAGGCGTGAGCCACTGCGCCCAGCCATATTTCTATTTATACATGCAGTGGAGCTGACTTTGGATGCACAAGTCTACAAGAGGCGGCTCCAGGTGTGAGGCTGACTTGAAGGCAGCACCTGGAGTGTGAGCCACCACACCCATGCTCCAGGTAGGAGGAGAGGCCTTGAGGCAGTCCACAGTGTGGCCCAGAGCAAGTCCCTCTGGCTCCTCAGGGGGCAGCTCGGATGCCAGAAGGTGAGATTCCACCAGGCAGGTGCAAAAGCCTCCCTGAATGAAAGGCCGCCAGAGCCAGTGTCTCTTACAATAATCCCCTAGGAGTTGTTTCCAGGGCCCCCACAAAGGACACGCCTAATTGCAAGAATCACTGTGCCCAGCAGATCGCAGAGATGTGGCTTTCTACCAGGTATTTAGGATTGTCACAGCTGAGATGCAGTTTACCAATCAGGGGCCATGTGACCATAAGTAGTGCCACTTAGTAACACGGTTGACATGACACCTTTAGTGTCAGCTTTCCAGAGAAACAAAACTGGAAGGTTAACCAAAGGTCAAATTTTCCTGTGGAGGGGAAATGATTTTGTTAGCCCTTACCTACAATATACATAAAATTCCAATATAACTGAGCAAAAGTGGTGTTTATAAACTTTACGTACATTTGTCTCCTAGCTTCTTGTAATACTATGTTTATTTATTAATTAAAATAAATTTTTTTGAGACAGGGTCTTGGCCTGTTGCCCAGGCTGGAGTACAGTAGTGCAATCGTGGCTCACTGCAACCTCGAACTCCCAGGCACCCGAGTGAAGTGATCCAACCACTTCAGCCTCCCAAGTACCTGAGACTACAGGCCCGTGCCACCAAGCCTAATTTTTTTTGCTTTTTTGTAAAGCTGGAGTTTTCCCATGTTGCCCAGACTGGTCTTGAACTCCTGGGCTCCTTCTGCCTCAACCTCCAAAAGTACTGGGATTCCAGGTGTGAGCCACCATACCCATACTATATTTAAACACGGTAAGTGAGAAGTGTTGCCATGGTAAGTCTGTTTGTTCAGGCTTTTCACATAATTCACCTCATAGTCACCTCACGCTAGGACGGTGACTCACGATGTGCTATCAGTGAGGGCTATGAAGCATTTATTAAGTAAGCATGCACATTGTATAATTCACCAGAGGAACTCAGATCAAAGTACAGGTTGGGTCCTCGAAATTCTAAGAGACCAATGTCTCCACATTTTACACAAGGAGACAATGCTGTCACTGTGAGTTCACAACAGCGGGGCTGGATTCTCTCCCCTGGGCACTCCAGGTTGGTGAGGGTTAGGTGTATGATCTGGCCAAGCTTCTCTCTGTGCAAAAGAACTACTGAGTTTGTAGCTGTGCCCTCTTATTTGTTCTGGTGGAGGTGCTAAGTCCAGACAACTCCCAGTGGCAGAAGCAGGGTCAGGCCTGGCCCACCAACAGCCACAGTGATGTTCGTGGATTGACTGCTAGTGACAAAATGGTCTTCCATTCAGCCTGCTCAGGGACGCTGGCACACACATTCTCCAGCTTCCCTTGGCCCAGCTAAGTGAGCAGAGCATGCAGAAGCACGTTGCAGAAGCGCCTGCAGGGCCTGGCTGTAGGACACGTTCTTTGGGTATCTCCATTAGCACGTGGGAGTGTGGACACCAGCCACAGCTGGCCACTGTACGGCTGAAAGCACAGGGCTCAGACCTGCCCTTCTGAAGAAAGTCCCGACCTGGAATCTGATATGAACCTGGTAAACCTTGTCTCTAGAGGGGAGAACAATCTGACTCCTCTCACAGCACTGGAGGAAGGCTGGCTCCAGGAACACCGGACGACAATGCGTGGAGCCTCCAGGCAAACGGCCTTTCCACGAAGCCTCTCACGGATCAGTGTCACCACCAAATATGGGTATCCCGGGCAGGGCGTGGTGGCTCACACCTGTAATCCCAGCACTTTGGGAGGCCAAGGTGGGCGGATCACTTGAGGTCAGGAGTTTGAGACCAGCCTGGTCAACATGCGGAAATGCCATTTCTACTAAAAATACAAAAATTAGGCTATGTGCAGTGGCTCACGCCTGTAATCCCAACACTTTGGGAGGCCGAGGCGGGCGGATCAGGAGGTCAGGAGATCGAGACCATCCTGGCTAACACAGTGAAACCCCATCTCTACTAAAAATACAAAAAATTAGCCAGGAGCAGTGGCAGGCACCTGTAGTCCCAGCTACTCCGAAGGTTGAGGCAGGAGAATGGCGTGAACCCGGAAGGTGGAGTTTGCAGTGAGCCAAAATCGCGCCGCTGCACTGCAGCCTGGGCCACAGAGCGAGACTCTGTCTCAAAAATAAAATAAAAAAAAAATTAGCTGGGCATGGTGGTGCGTGCCTATAATCCTAGCTACTCAGGAGGCTGAGGCAGGAGAATCACTTGAACCTGGGAGGCAGAGGTTGCAGTGAGCCGAGATCGTGCCACTGCACTCCAGCCTGGGTGACAAGAGTGAAACTCTGTCTCACAAAAACAAAAACAAAATTAACTGGGGTGTGGTGGCACATGCATGTAATCCCAGCTACTGGGGAGGCTGAGGCACAAGAATCACTTAAACCTGGAGGCGGAGGTTGCAGTGAGCTGAGATTGCTCCACTGCACTCCAGCCTGGGCGACACAGTGAGACTGCCTCAAAAAAACAAAAAACAAAACAAAAAAACAAATAAGGTTATCCCCATTTCTCGGATGAGGAAACAGAAGCCAGGAGGTGACACTATTTGCCCAGAGTAACAGCCAGTAAATGGCAGAGTTGGGATAAGAACCCAGGCGGGGGTGATGCCAACGCCCGCTCCCTCCAACCACCATCTCACTCCTCCACTTGGTAAACCTCCTTCATGTCCATTACTGATTCTAACGCCACCAGCAGAGGTGAAAGTGGCAGGTATGAGGTGAGACCACCACTGTGTCAAGCTTTTCAAGCACGCGGGCAAAGAATAGCAACCCAGCCAGTAACTAACAGAAACATGGGTGCTTGACTCCAGCTGAGAGCGGCAGCTGGCTGGTACCAGACCCAATGTCACTATACACCCTGCTTCTGTTACCTTCTCTTGATCCCTGGGCAGTGGTGGTAACTATCATTCCTCTTTTTTTTTTTTTAAATGATGGAGCCTCGCTCTATCACCCAGGCTGGAGTGCAATGGTGTAATCTTGGCTCACTGCAACCTCCACCTTCCAGATTCAAGAGATTCTCCCGCCTCAGCCTCCAGGCTTAAGTGATTCTCATGCCTCAGCCTCCCCAGTAGCTGGGATTACAGGCATGCGCCACCATACCCAACTAACTTTTGTATTTTTAGTAGAGATGGGGGTTTCACCATGTTGGCCAGGCTGGTCTCGAACTCCTAACCTCAGATGATCTGCCTGCCTCAGCCTCCCAAAGTGCTGGGACTGCAGGGGTGAGCCACTGTGCCCGGCCATCATTACTTCATACTCCTAATTCCCACTTATTTGACACTTTATAGCTCAAATGGGGGGTGGTTCTGTACCCAAGGACAAATGGCTTGTCCACAGCAGACGAGGAACCAGCAGGACTGCCTGGTCTTCTCTGTTTCTATCCCTCACAGCACCTAGCACAAACCACTGATTTAAAAAAAAAAAAAACTTAAAAAAAAAATAGAGATGGGGTCTTGCTATGTTCCCTAGGCCCATCTTGAACTCCTGAGCTCAAGCAATCCTCCCATCTCAGCCTCCCAGTGGGCTAAGATCACAGGCATGAGCCTCTCTAAAAAAACTTTTTATTGGCCGGGCATGGTGGCTCACACCTGTAATCCCAGCACTTTGGGAGGCCGAGGCAGGTGGATCACGAGGTCAGGAGATCAAGACCATCCTGGCTA